TGCACCTTGAAATATCTGGGAAGATGCCCAACTTCTCCACTTTCTTTTGCCTGCTTAGCTGAGGCTCAGAGGCAGGTGGCTTCAGGAGGAAAGTCGCAGGAGAATGGCAAGTGATGCCGACTTCAGCCTGACAGCTGCTGATCTTTGCTTTAGTTGATTTCCCCCTTTGCAAATGGTTCATTGGCAATTGAAACTGCAAATCTACTATCTGCTCCCCTATGTAAATTGCATTTACATTTAAATTGTGCATTCTTCCAAAGGATGGGGTTAGTAAATAACAGCAGATTGAACTTGAGGAGAGGAAATTGTGCCCCGCGTCAAACCTGAGACTGAAGTGACATCTGGCTTTTACTATTTCCGTTATTTCAGTTTAATAACAGCATGTGGCATTAAGGGAAAGAAATTGGATCTACATTTTAATGAAATGAGGAAGCTCTTGGGGTTTAGATATCTTATCATGTTGAATACCTAGTCGATTGGCAATTAAAACTTCCCTCAAGAACTGGAATAAAATATCTTTGCAGCCAAGGAGGAAATAAAAAACAAGCTAATGCCCAAGACTGCACAGATAAAACCAAGGGAAATGGGTGCTGTAAACATCAAAACCAAATATTTCAGGATACTGCAGAGTACAGGAATTCTTAAATGGAATAATGCTGAGAGTAGAGTCATGGATACGCTGGTGGGATCTTCAACAGAATAACCTCAGACAGAATAGTTCACACATAGTAGGGGGCTCAACCCAATCAAAGCATCTGATTGAATCCTTTGTCAACCTAGCTTGTTTTAATCCCCAGAGGTCTAACCAAAAAATATTTTAGAAATGCCTGTTTCATCCCAATAGTTTAACTGCTTAAATGGAAGTGGTTCCACCTGCTGTCTGCTTTTTTATGTAAAGCGATTCTGAGAAATGTAAACAAAATGCTTGTGTATCCTAATAACCCAAGCCTATAATTTAATTGCTTTGATTGAAACAAATGTGTTATTTTTCAGTCTTTGTCTGATGCATCCAATGTTTGAATGTTGGCAAATGCATGTATTGCATGTTTGTTTGGAAACTGAGCCATAGCTCTTGGAACTGTTGGAAGGGAAACAGCACCAGGTGTTAGACCGGTGGAGTCAGACTGGACCTTGGTTCAGAACCTCGATACTTGAGTTCTGGCTAGGAAAGAATTCAGAGCCAAGACTCAAACTAGAAGAGAAAGTTTATTTAGAAAGCCAGAGGTAAAAGAAGTGAGTTGTAGAAGAAATGGACCCAGAAAACAAGTTACAGAGGCAAAAGAAGGGACCCTTGGAGGATGGGAGAGGTGAGTGAAGGAGGGCACAGTGGGTCCTTCATCCTGAGAGTATTTATCTGGAGGTCTCAGGGGAGGATCCCAGTAGAATACTCATTAGCTTTTCAGGTGTGTCTTTTCAGGGTCGTGGTCTCCACTGATTGTTCGGAGCCAGGGCAGGAGGTCATTAATCAATGCAGCTAGTCCTGATGTCAGCCATGGCATCTGTATGGTTTTGCTGTTTTTCTGGACCTGGAGCTGAAATGCAACTGAGGCCTAGATGTTATCCCTAGGGGTTAATGTTTAAGGGAGTGGTCGTGCAAGGGCCCAAGTGGGAGTTGCTTGAGGCCACCCTTTGGCCCCTTGTTCCTCCTCCAAGGGGGTCTACCACATGACTAGCTACACGCCAGAGGAGGATAGGTCAGGGGAGGGTCCAAACCTCATGATCATTGATATGAAAGGTCAGGGGGTCTAAACCCCATGACCTGCTCAGGGAGGAAAGGTTACCCTGGGGCGAAGTCCTTGTTTTCCCTGTCTTGCCCATTGCTAGGCACCAGGGACTTTCCACCCAGCGACCTTCTATACCTGGCCCATCATCCTTGCTCTGCTGATGTCCAACTGTCTACCACAGAACCACAGCTTGGATCACTTAATGAGCCTCCCTGACCCCGCACCCAAAGGTGCTCCATCCTTTCCCAGCATCAGGAAAGTGTTGAAATGGTAGAGCCCCATGGGCAAGTGTAAATAGAATGGAGCCTCCTGAGGAAGAAATCGGATGTGGAAACTCTCTGAGGATAGGACACATGAATGAGTAATAAGGAACATTCATATAGTGCTTACTGTGCATTATAACTCATTAAATGCTCACCACAGCCCTGTGAAGTAGGTACCATTGTCATCCCCATTACAGATGAAGGAAAGGAGACACAATGAGTTTGGTAACTTCCCCCACCTGACATCACCCAGCTGCAAAGAGATAGGCTGGGATTTGACTCCAGTCGGGCTGGCTCCACTGTCCCCTTATCCCCCTTCAGGTAACTCCTTCCTATGCCTGGCATTTAATTAAGGCATGTGTTTTCCCAGAGTTACATTTTGTCTTGCATAACTGTTTCAGCATCATTTGTCTTGCATGATTGTCTCAGCAAACCCAAGCTAATAGTCTAAGGTATCTTTCCTTAAACAAAATAAAGCAGCAACAACAAAAACTGGCCTTTTTTGCATCTGCAACATAGATGCTCTGCCCCAGAGTGCTCACAGGAGTACGCAGAGAATGAAACAAGATCTGAGTGTGCTTTGAAAAGGCCGAAACCATCAAAATTCTGCAACATATTATTTATCTGTACTCTATCCTGATTCTTATCATATATATATGTATATATATGTGTATATATGTATATATATATATATGTGTATATATATATATACATATATATGGATTTCAGAGAGAGGGAGAGATAGAAATATCAATGATGAGAGAGTCATTGATCGGCTGCCTCCTGCACGCCCCCTGCTGGGGATCGAGCCCACAACCCGGTCATGTGCCCTGACCGGGAATCGAACCTTGATCTCCTGGATCATAGCTTGATGCTCAACTACTGAACCACACCAGCCAGGCCTGGTTCTTATTTTTAAATGAGCAATTCCTTAACAAGTTAATATAAGTCACTTTCATTTTCTCATTTTATCTAGAAGACATGGCCAAACTACTCATCTACTACTGTGGGTATTATTATGATGGCCTAGATGCTTGATGTGTGATTTCTCCTTTATCTTCCCAGTTTGGTTTGGTAGCAGCTCCTTCTCCTCGCTTCCTGTGTATGATAACTTCTCTGCCTCCCTTGACATTTCATCATGGCAGTCTGCCTATGAAGTCAACCAGTGCCTCCTCTGTTTGAACTTAGGTTAAATTAATCATCAGACTTTCACATCAGTCTGTTGCTATGGGGGTTACTGATGTCACACTGTCAGTATTATGATTATCATAATATCTAACAAGCAAAAAGGGATTGTTTGCTAGCAGAAACCCTTGGGTGAAACTCACCCAGCTTTAGTAACCAACCCAACTGCATACACTTTAGACAACCATGTAAAGGGGTAAGTGGATTAATCATCCAGTTGGATCGCATTCGAATATTTTTTCTTCCATATGTGTGTTCCCTCTAGGCAATTGTCTAGTGTCACTTGAAATTGATGAGGGCTCTTTTGGAAGTTATTTTTGGGAAAGGTGGTGAAACAACAGACAGCTGTTTTCTGGAGGAAATGTCACAGGATCTGCCTAAGCTAGCTACCAGTAAAAAAAAAATTAAAAATGGGAGTGCACTGTCCTTTTCCTTTCTAACATGAGATTGTTTACTGGTGACCTAAAAATGTTAATTCAGCCTCTCAAACATATAGAAAAGAGGGAGCCTGGCTCAGCGGTTGAGCGTCGACCTAGGATCCAGGCTATCTGGGTTCGATTCCCGGTCAGGGCACATACCCTGGTTGTGGGATCGATCAATGACTCTCTCATCATTGATGTTTCTGTCTCTCTCCCTCCCTCTCTTTTCCTCTCTCTGAAATCAATAAAGATATATTAAAAAGAAAGAAAGAAATTATCTAGAAAAGAGGGAAACACATTTATTAAGCACCTCTCGTGTGTTAAAACGTGACCCTGGTCAATGTATAGCTTTAAAATTGGAGACTTATTAAGCTACGAGTTCTCAAGCAATCTTGGTATACATGACAATTCACAGCTTTTTCTAGCTTGTGTTCAATGTTCTTCCTAATTGGACATTGACTGATCACCAATAAAGGCAAAGTCATTACTTAAAATTGGTCCAGATCCTCCAAAGCTGAGTAATTGTCTTGAAGTCATTTTTGCTGTGATATTAAAAAGCCTGGAAACATGATAGAAATGAGGTACAATAAATAAATCGCTAAATTAAAAATCTCTGTTAAAAAGCTTGACAAATGTGTCTGTCTGTTTTAGGATTTTGTTAAGTGGGTAAAGGGGTAAGTTTGGGGGCATAGAGGGATAAAACTGGTCAACCAAGAGGCTGCGCAGGTTTGGAAAGCCACGTTGAGATTGGCGTAAATCTATACAAATCAATTTGTGTGCCAGGGAATGAACAGCTGACTTTTTTCAAATGCCAATTCAGCTATTACAGAGTCTGCTGGCGGTTAATTAAAAACTACCATCTTGTTACATTCAGAGTTAAATAACAAGTGAGAAAACTACTACTGTTTGCAATATCTGGATGCTCTGTACTCTCTGTACTCTCATCAAAAGGAGGGCAGGGATAAATAACTTTTATTTAATTCACGAAAAAATCTCTCTCAGCTCTTTCCTATTTAATCAACTTCTTATCTTCTCCGAGCTGAGTCTTACTCCGAGTTCCCAAGCAGTAATAGAAATATGTGTCCATTTGTTCATTATGGGAGAAGATTTTCTCACATTAGTTGAGTAGAAAACTTAGAAACACTTGAACCCCAACATGGGGGAAAGTGACACCCATCCAAAGCTTTGCATCAAAGCAACTAAACTTGGAAGAGATTTGTGGCAGAAACAGTAAGAAACGGTGATTTTTTTTTTTTTTTAATTGCCTCTGAGACTGGGGAGCTCAGTTTGTACACACTTCAGGGGACTGGTGAAGTTTTAGTAGTTCTTTGTAAGGCTGTCTTAATGAATTTAATGTTTTACTGTTTCAGACATTTTGCTATCAGAAAAGAGACCAAACTTCTATCACCATGGTGGACGTGAAGTGTCTGAGTGACTCTGAATTACAGAACGAACTTGATAAGCTTGGATTTTCACCTGGCCCCATACTATGTATGTATGCAGCAAAGATTAGAGACTAGTCATTTTTATTACTCATAAACTACCCCCAAAGATGTAAAATTATTTACATCATTAAAATAGAAATAGGGAAATTAAAAAATCAGGAAAACCATAAAGAAGGGAAGAAGAGAGAAATACACTCAGATCCTTCTTACAGATTAGTAAGTATGGGGCCAGACAGGAAAAATCTTTTTCCCCCACAGTGAAAAACCAGTTACTCTAGATTATATCACCCTGGGTTCTTTCTCATTTCTAGAAGGTGCACTGTGTTAACTACGTGTGTACTTACTGTCCATAGGTAGAGTTACAACTTTGTCTGCCTTGTTCTCAGATGTAGCCAGTGCCTGAGCCCGGGTCTGACTCACAGAGGCCTCACCTTAAGTGCTTGCGGGAGGGACAGAGTGAGTTGAGCCGCTGTGGGGTCCACTTCATTGCAAGAGCCACAATTAATAATACAAGCTACAAGAGCAAGGATCTGAGTTGTGAGATGCCTCGAACCCATTAAGATCCCATACACAAACAGAGCAGCTTAATCTCTTCTCCACTCTTCCTCAGCTTCCACCAGAAAGCTGTATGAAAACAAGCTAATGCAGTTGTTGGTCTCACCTCCCTGTGCGTCACCTGTGATGAATGGACCCGGAAAGCAGAGCAAAGCTCAGGGCCGTGATGGCAGTAAAGGTACCATCAGAGGCTGTACTGCTTGATAGCAACTTTGCACTTATTAACACTTTTATTAACACTTTGTCCAGCATGACTTACGCAGCTTTAAATGGCAAGAATGAAATAGCCATGTGGCCTGTCTGCACACAAAGCCTGGAAATAAGCCCCCGGGCTGCGAAAGGAATGCTTAGGTCCATGTATGCATTCACGCCAGTGACTCAGTTGGGTGGCAAATCTGTGTCTGATTTCTTAAACCAGAGGTTCCTACAGATAATTTCCAGGTCTCCTTTGAGGCCTCAGCCTCTGCTTGGCCTCAATCAATAAATTTGATGATTATTTTCTTTGGATTAAATGATTCACATCCATTAAGGAAGATGAACCAGACCCTACCTCCCTATGCCTACTGCCCTCCTGACTTAGTGGGAACTGACCACAGCGGGTGTCTCCCAGGTCCCAGTGGGTGGGGAGCAGCGGTCTCTGGGATCCAAGAGCTTCCCTTACAGTGGCCCCTGCCCAGGTGCAACATTCTCCTGCTGGGGTATCTAGTTTAGGCTCTTGGCGGTAGAATTAAAGATTCCCACAGTACATTCCAAGGCTCTTTCACTCAGTAAATACTTATTAGGAGTTTTCTATGAGCCACAGTAAAATAATAGGAAGTACCATTTATTAAAGGCCACCAATGCATTTCCGGCCTAACTTGCATTCTCTCATTAACCCTCACCACACTTCGCTGAAGTTCAGAGAAGCTAAGTGATGGACCCAACATCATAGAGCTAGGAAGTGGCCCCAGAAGATAAGCCTCCACTAGCATGTGCCATCAAGAGCAAGGCCCATCTGTCTTTGTCACCAGTACATGTCCAGCTGCTAGGACAGGACCAGGCCTGTAGCAGGAATTCAGTATATGTTGAATGAAAGTGATACAGAACTGAGATTCAAACCCAGGTCTGGCTCTCATAATTATGCTCTTCCCACCACATACCCCATACTTTTCTCACAGTTTCTATTGTAAGGATAAACACATTACATTTTTGACTATGTTTGATCTACAAAAAAATGGCAATTTCATATAGTTCAAATTAATAGTTCAACCAACAATAAAAGCACCTGGGCTCTCTGAAAAGTCCCCTGCAATGGTATGAAAGGTAGCACAGGTGCTGAGAACTTTCCCCAAGAGTCTGGAATGGCTGGCCTCATTTAGAGAGGGCAGCAAGGTTTGGGGATGGATCCCACTGCCCCTGAGCAGGACAGTCAGCATGGGGGTGCCTCAGGGCAAGTGGCTACCCCAGGCCTTTTCTGGATGTGGGACGTGTTCATAGTCCTGTCCCAGACCTGGGGCTGCCTCTGTTTCCTGCCCTGGAAAGGAGTTGAAGGGACTAGACTAGCCCTCTGAGAAGTGTGGTGCCAGGCTTAAAGATTCCAGAGAGGAAGGCTTGTGCACTACTGCTCGTGACTGCTGAGGACTGAGGTCCAAGCTGCAAAGCCAAGCTGTCATTGTCTCAGTCTGCACTGCCCTGGTTCCCAGCACACAGCCTTCCACATAGCCCTCCACAAAGGTGCATTTATGCTGGGGCTAGAAGAAAATCAGCCCTTTGGTTTGTAAGATTTGCTTTGCTTTACACTGTGCCCACCCGATGCTAGCCAACCACAGGCAATCAGGTGAAAGGTGGAAGTTCTGGTTCAGTCCTACCCTTGTAAAGCAGCTCTGTGATGTCAATGGCCAGTGGTGGGTACAAGTAGGAACCTACTTCTCCAGGTCAGGGCTGAATCAGACATTTGAATTTGCTCATTGGAGGACCCTCCTAGACCCTGGTACCACGAGAATGGAGGGGTTGACATGAAACTAATGGGGTCCTGGAGAGTCAGCTTTGAGCATTTCACAGAAACACCTAGTCCTGAGGTGGGGTTGTTGTGGGAGGGGAGCGGCAGTTCCAGACCTGAGGCTGGGCATTAGGGCATCCAAACAATGCGTGGATTTGGGTTTTCTCATTTTCACTCATTGTTTTGGCACTGGGTGGGCATAGCTTTAGTTATCTACCCTTTTTACAACCTTCCCAAGTATTTTTGACTTGGGAGCTCATTTAAAATCCCCTCCATTAAAAGTTCATTGATGCTGAAAAGCACACGATTGCTCCAAGTTTATCAAAAAGCTTCTTCACAGCCTGAAGGCGATGGCTGGTCACCAACAACCTTCTCTGCCCCGGCAGCTCCCCTGATTTCACAGCCTTTCAGCACAGGCCTGGCCTTCCCTCCCCGGGTGCCTCTTGGGATTCAGGAGAAATCCTCCTGCCCTATCTCGACATTCAGAGATATGCAAGGCTTACAGCTGGCTCCAAGGGACTGCAAACAGCCGCCCGGATGAGCAGCCCGCTCACTCAGCGTGGATTGTTCTCCCAGGAGCATGATCGTGGCAGCTTCCCAGGGGAGGCCTAAGTGTGTCCCGCACAGGCCACTGCAGAAATGCTCTTTTCCCTCCGAAGGGCAAAGCAAATGGTCTTCCCCTCCCCCAAATCTTCTGCCCTGTGATGAATAAAATTCACCCCGATGCTTGGCTAGCTTGTACGTTCTCATGGCCTATTTTCCTCTTGTTTCCCATGATCCAGAGCTGAATGGCATCATCATTTTGAAAGGAAATATCATAGTCTCATCAGAAAAAAAGAAGGGATCCAAAAGAGTATGTACAATTCTAATGCATGAATACTTTTACGAGTTTAAATATAAGAAATAGCACTTTTCATGTGTATTAAGTAAGGAAATAGCAAGTTACTACATTCTGTCATAGTGGGGAAATTCTAGTTTTGTGAAGCCCATTGTAATGCCAGTTTCTGTTTTGTGAAGCTATTACCATGTTCTAGCCCAGGACCCAGAGTAACAGCCCCCCTGAAAGAGCAGCCACCCTGGTGTCCTCTCCAGCTGTCGTGCACTCTCACCCTTCGCCACCTGTAGTCTCCATTCACCTAGAGCACTGAGCACGGTTCTAGACCCACAGGGAGCACAGGACATGTAAGTTCCTGTCCCCTTCTCTTCCTATACCCTGAGATCTGGCTTCTACCCTCGCCACCAAATTGCAACACATGGCCCAAGTGGGTGAGACTAACAGGGTTTGGGGTGAGGCCCGGCTGGTTTAGAGCCCTTGCCCTTCCACTTGCCAGAGTGTGACTCTGGGAAGCCACTTCATAGACGTGAGCCTCCGCTCAGCTTGCTTAGCAGCACCTGCCTCGGAGGGCGAGTGAGAGGCAAAGGCAGGGGGCGCTCTCAGCCTAGAACACGGCGCGTTGTTCGCTCCCATAATTCGGAAACTCCAAGATATCAGCACTAGAGACTTATGCTTGGTCCCTCTTTATTTAGAGCACCTGCCTCCTTTGATTTTGGCAACTCTGCTCTCTCCAGGTTTTTAATTCTGCCCCCCTCCCGCCTGTTTCCATCCTGGCTCTGCCTTTTGGGCCCTGCCTGCACGTGGTGCCTGGGATCCCTGGCTTCAGCCCCTCCTCTTCCTGCTCTGTGTCATTTCCCTTGGTCGTGTCATTCACTTGCCACCTCTATGCTATGACTCCACATGTAACCCTCCACGCAGGACCCCTCTCCTGAGCCCCAGGCCTGCCTCCTGGAAAGCTCCTTCCCTCCGTCCTGCACTCATTCAACAAGTGGTTATTTATTTACTTATTGTAACCCTCACCTGATGACATGTTTTTATTGATTTCAGAGAGAGGAAGGGAGGAGGGAGAGAGAGAGAGAGAAACATCGATGTGAGAGAGAAACATCGACATGAGAGAGAAACATGGATGGCTTGCCTCCCATACATGCCCCAACCTGGGATCAAACCCAAAACCCAGGCATGTGCCCTGAATGGGAATTGAACCCGAGACCCTTTGGTGCGTGGGACGATGCCCCAATCAAATAAGCAGCACCAGCCAGGGCAACGATGGTTATTTATAATTATGAACATTTCCTAGTTTATACAGATGTATTCCTACTTCTCCCATGCTTATCCCCAGCACCTCACTCCAGGACCACCTGCATTTGCAGCCTCTGTTTCTCTCGATGGTTCCACCACCTTCCCACTCTCCAGGCTCAAAATCACACTGTTACCTCGGGACGCCCACTCCCCATAGCTCCTCACATATAAACAGTTGCCAAGTCCTATGGATTTGAATTATAATTTTCAAAAATCTATCCCTCCTTTCTCTTCCCACTGCTACTCCCCTAGCTTGCACCATATTACGTTTTGTCTTGGGGTTGTTGTTTTTTATTTGAACAATTGCAGTACCCTAATATCTGGCCTCTTCCTCCAACCTTTACCAATTCCAGTTCAGATCTACAAGCAGAGACTTAATCATGTATTCGTTAGCCTGGAAACTTTCAAAACAAGGTGCAAACTTACTATACATCATGAAGAGACACCAGTCTCTCCGGTAAATGTATCTCCCTCACCATCCAACCCAGTGCATGCCTGCCTTGTTTCCCTGCCTCTCACACCTCTTCCCAGGCACCTTGGCCTCAACAGTTCTTCATGCCTAGAGTTATTTTTATTCATTCACCCCACCCCATTTATCTTCCTGTTAACATTCTGTGATCACTTAAGCAACGTCTCAAAGGCCACCCCTGTGGATCCCTTTAAAATTCATTTTATCCTCTCAGTAGCTGTCACGGGGCTTTGTACACAGTAAGAGCCCAAAGATCACTTTATCAAGTCTGCCAAACAGCTCTAGGGACACACAGATTAGTTTGCAAATGTGGTCTAGTATTTAAAATACTTGTTGAGTTTAAATAAATAAAAGAAACCCCAGGTAAATATTCCTGCAGTAAGTTGTTACTTTAGCTTTCTATCTGAACATAATTCAAATTTGATGAAGTGGTTCTGGTATCAAAATTTTCTAAAAAGATTTTTTAAATCTTTCAAATGGCACCTTGTTTCTGCAGAAAACCCTTTTGTATAGTTCCTGCAAAGACATTTACAAGAGAAAAAGTAACCTGCATATTTAAAATGCATCAGGCAGGGGGCCAATGCCCTCCAGGTTTTGCTTTACGTAAACCTGAAATAAAACCACATCAATATTTTGAATTGGCAATAGAATTAAATGGAAAGTTTGTGATAACATAAAATGTTTTGATCAGAAGGATTATATAAGCCATTTTGATTCTCAGAAGAGCCTCAAGACATCTGTTCAATTTTAAATCTGAAAGTACATGTAAATAAGCATTTAAATTTCCATGTAAAAGGTAGTAGAAAGTGTGTCTATTTAGACACTTGTCTAACACCATAGACTTTAATTACTTAAGAGCAGTGGTCCGTACCTAACAGTCCTCTAAGTGCCTAGAAAGCTGGTTTCCACATTTCTTTGAAACACCAATGAATGCATATTTTCCTCTCATTTTAGTAGGTTTCTAGTGGAATACAAATCACCTTGAGATTTGGAATATGTCAGTTTCTGGACACCTTTTAACACTGTACATGTGTGTTTTAGTTATTTTTTTAAGATTTTTGATTGAATTTTAGAGATAGAGGAAGGGAGAGGAGAGAGAAAGAAACATCAATGTGAGAGAGAAACATCGATTGGCTGCCTCCTGCACATCCTCTACTGGGAATCGATCCCCAAACCTTGCACATGCCCTGCCTGGGAATCGAACCAGCAACCTTTAGGTGCATGGGATGAAGCCCAACCAACTGAACCACACCAGCCAGGGCTGTCTGTGTATTTTATTAAATTGCATATGCAGCCCATTTGATTTGGTGATTAAGACCACTCAGAAAGGGAGGTCAGTATTTTTTTATTTGGAGATTTTCTCATCAGATAGATTCTAGGCACAGCTTAAGCTTCCACCAGTGGAGTAGGGAGTGAAGCTGATGTGTGTACGTGAGGCTCTAAAACCTCTAGAGGAGAGACAGGATTCAGGGATGGCAGGGAGGCAGAATAACCCTCAATGTCAGGCTGCATAAAGCGTGGTTTGATGGGATGGCCATGGAACTTATCACTACAAACAGGATGCTTTTGAAAATGAAAGGGGACACTAACCAGAAGGGGCGCTGGAGAAACAGGAGTAAAGCAGGCCTGTCCTGGCAAACCAGGGCACATGGTCATCCGGGTTCGAGAGTGGTGCCGAAGGCTGAGTGCCTGCATGTGCACACCGTCTGCAGAGGGCCGCACCTAGTGCCCAGAGGGCTCTGGCCCCTTCTCCCCCAGACACCACATGCTCTTTCTTGCCAGAATCAACATTCATTCTGTTCTCCCAGCCTGGAATATTCTCTCCTCATCTGGTCACCTACATATTCTAGGATTTTCTCAAAATGTGTTCTGTGTGTCTGGCCCTAGGAATCTGCCTTTTCCATCAGCCCCTATTCCCACCCTCTGTCCAAGTCCTTTTGCTCTAGGGTGTAAAATTTTGACGGTAAACCTATGTCTTTGAATCCTCTCCATTTAATTCAAAGCCAGGCATGTGGAGGCCGGGAACACTCAGTCCCTGTTGGGTGAACTGAAAGGAGTTTTTGTCCTACATTGATGCTGACGGTCTCTCTTTTTCTGATTTCCTATTCTGTACCACCTCTTTTGTCTCTTGGGCTTACCTTAATGTATTCTCTTGAGAGACAATGCTTAGGTCATGGTGAATTGATGACCATCCAGGGAAGGGTTGCAACAGAGCTTCCATCCCTGGGTCTCACTCAGCCTATGAGTTAACAACTATTTATCAAATACAGGACATTGTGCTACACCTGCTTGTTCCTGTCCTGAAGAAACTTAAAATTGAGCTTTGGAAACACAGAATACGTGTATCAAAAATATGTACTCTAGAGCTGGACTGCTTGGGTTCAAACCCTAGCTCTGCCACTAACTTGGATAAGACACTTGACCTCTCTATCTCTTAACTCCTCAACCATAAATAAGGGTAATAATAGTTTCAGCTTCATAAAGTCGTATGATTAAGTTAAAGTATGTGAAACAGTAGTGATGGCACATTCTAAGAGCCGTCTAAGTACAAATAAGAACTATTGCTATCATTAATATTACTATTATATAAAAAGCATGATATTTAGTTACCTGCAATACAAAGCAACATGCTTAAGTGAAAAAAAATATAACGGAAATTGAATTTTTAGTATTGAACTGGTCAACCATTGTGCCATACCAGCTGGGCAGGACTCTTTCCTTCTTAATCTGATACTTAAATCCTTCTTCCTCCTGCCTCTTTAAACATTTTAAAAAATAATTTTACTTTAAACAAAAATAAAAAATTATTTTAAAAAAAAAAGAAAAGAAAAAGAAAGAGGGACATCTGTAATACTTTAAACAAAAATAAAAAATTATTAAAAAATAATAATAATAATAATTTTACACTTACAAAAAGTTGCAAGAAATAGTACAAAGAATTCCTGTTTTCTTTTCACCCAGATTATTTGTTACCTTTTACTACATTTGCTGTGTGTGTGTGTGTGTGTGTGTGTGTGTGCACTGTGTCTTTCTGACTGATTTGAGAGCAAACTCTAGACAGGAAGCCCCTCAGTTCTCTGGCATATATTTGCCTACCCCCAAAGGACACTTTCCTACATGTCCACAAAATAACTGCAACTAAGGACATTCACATCGAGTCAACGCCAGCGTCCAACATTCAGATCCCACTCGAATACCACCAGCTCTCCCAGTAGTGTCTTGCTTCTGGGCCCCGTCCAGTCCAGGAGCA